CCCCCCCCCCCCGGCCCGCACATTTGCTCTTAACGTCAGAACAGCAGATATGATCTTGTCCATGTGTGTGTGTGTGTGTGTGTATGTGTGTACTCACATTTGCTCTTAACGTCAGAATATGATCTTGTTCGTGAGTGTGTGTGTGTGTGCTCTTGTTTGAACCAGGAGCTCAGGTAGCCTAGGCTAGCCTTGAACTCACTGTGTACCGGAGGCTGACTTCAAACTCCTGCTCCCCCCAACTTTGCCTCTAGAGTACTGGGCTAATAGACACACACTACCATGCCTGGCCCTGAACCCTAAACACTGGCCATCTCAGTTCTGAGCAGGTGAGCCTCTCGCTACCCAAACCAATCTGTGCAAAGGGCTGATGCCTCTCACCGAAGTCTCCATGCATAGGCAGAGGGGCTGGGCAGAGGGCGGTGCTGCGAACTTTCGGATACACGGGAGCTCCCGATCCAGTGCCTCATACTCTGAGATGACGTGCCGCAGGTACTGCTTTCTGGGGTGGGGGTGGGGGAAGCAAGACAAGGAATGGGAGCTCTGAGGTCAGAGGCTGCTGCTGCCACCGCTGCAGGAGCTGAAGTTAGCGCTCATGGAGCCATGGACTACTCACGAGGATTTGATGGGTCTGCTCAGGCTCCGAGCCATGGACTCCTCTGTAGCCTCCAGATCCACAAGGACGGATCCTAGGGACAAGAGAACCCAGTGTCATTTCCCAAGTGCCCTGGGCAGCCACGACTCTTCAGAAGAGAGTCACCCAACAGTGTACACACTACCCCAGAAAGCTCCATCTCAGAGGCCAGTCTCTGAGATGCCACCTGGAAGCTACAAAATCCACCCTTCCACTCTGATTCTGAGACTCCGGACTCCTCGTCAGGCTCAGGCTAAAAAGGCCTGCAAGGGAAAATTAATCCCAAGATTCAGCCTGCTGGTTGGACAAGTTCCATGTGACCCTTCTTGTGAACCTGCTCATTAGCTGGTGGACCGCCCTTTCCCCTGCTAGTGATTGACACACACGACCTATTCCTCCTCTTTACCTCAGCCCTAGGGTTGTACAGGCACAAGGGTGTCCAGCCTCCCTCACCAGCTCCTTTGTGGCCTGGCAACTGAATTCTCACCAACAGTGTGAGCAACGGTGAGCCATTGACATAAAAGAGTGTCCACCGAGTGTGGTGGCGTGCACACCTGTCATTGCAGTACTAGGAAGGCTGTGCAGGGGGTTTGCCATAAGTTCAAAGGCAGTCTGGTCACACAGTGACTGTAGGGTCAGCCTGGGCTTCACAGGAAAAGTGTGGGAAGGAGGGAGGGGTAGAGAAAAAAGAGCAGTGGAAGGAAGAAGAGGGAAGGAGACAGGGAAGGAAGGGAAGGAAGGAGGGAAAGGGGAAGGAAGGAGAGAGGGGGAAGGAAGGAAAGGAGGGAGAGAGGGAGGGAGGAAGGAAGGGGGACAGGGAAGGAGGGAGGAAACTGTCTTTGCTGTTTGGTTCCTTTCTTCAGAGGGACTGGAATGTGAATGGAGTAGCAGCCTAGTTTCAGTCATATTAGGATATGCTGAGCAACAATGTAGAAGGATCCTGGGCCTATGAGTTGTCCTGTAGAGTTCAAGTATCCCTCAACCCACTCTAAGATCAACTAAAGTCTGCCTCCTTTATGTTATTGTGTTTCGAAGCAGAAAAGAGAAGAGTTGCCCCTGACAGTCAGGGCTCCTTGACATCAACTTCAGACAGGGCCAGTGGGGCAAGACCCACTGAAATGAGAGCACTGTGAGGTTATGTCATGACAGGGAACAGACACAGCTGCCCACAACACACAAACTTCTGAGCCGTGGTGGCACAGGCCTTTGGAAGAACTTGAATTTGTGGCCACTATGGTCTACAGAGAGAGTTCCAGGACAGCAAGGGCTATGCCGAGAAACCCTGTCTCTAAAACCCAAACCAAACCAAACAACATAGAAACTACAGAAAGGATCAAACAGCCCCTCCTGGTATCTCACCTCAGCATCCTGTGCTTGAAGCCCCAGCTACTCCATCTTGCATCAGAAATAAAACACTCCTTTTGTGCATGTGGACTCTTCTGGATGTAGTGTGGGGACCTTGTTTGAAGGCAGCCTTCCAAGCCAAACCCAAGACTAGAATCTGCATCCTGTGTTGTTGTATTGCTGTTTTTGTTTTCTCAGACAGGGTCTATACAGCCCTGGCTGCCTGGGAACTTACTCTGTAGACCAGGCTGACCTTGAGATCCACCTTCCTGATCCTCGCAAGTGCTGGGATTAAAGGAGGAGGTCACCACGCTTGGCTACTTTTGTTCACTTTTATCCTGTCTTTCCACCAACACCCCAGCTTAGTTAGAATCTGCATTTTCTTTCTTTTTTAAAATATTTATTTATTTATTATGTATACAATATTCTGTGTGTATGCCTGCAGGCCAGAAGGGGGCACCAGACTCCTTTACAGATGGTTGTGAGCCACCATGTGGTTGCTGGGAATTGAACTCAGGACCTTTGGAGGAGCAGGCAATGTTCTTAATCTCTGAGCCATCTCTCCAGCCCCCTAGAATCTGCATTTTCAACAAGATCTCTTCCTTTGCCTCTTTCCCATCTTCAGGTTCTGTCGTGCTTCAAATACAGAAGTTTTCCAGAGTGTATCCAGTGACTCACTGGTGGAGCTGGGAATTAACCCCGGGGGCTTTCCCTGAGACCTGACCCCAGCCCCTCACTGGGGGGTCTAGGCCAGCACTTTCCTGGTAATGTACATGTCTCCTCATGCCATGGCCGCTCTCCCTGCTGCAGACGGTCTCTCATGTGCACACACTCTGTGATCTGCTCTCCATATAGGCACAGTTACTAAACTAACTCCACAATGCTACACAGTGTATGTGGAGGTCGGAGATGAGCCTCAGATACCAGTCGTTAGGTACTGTCCACTTTGTGTTTTGAGACAGAATCGCTCACAGGACTGGAGCTCACCAAGTCGGCTAGGCTGGCCGGTCCCTGAGCCCCAGGGACCTGCCGTCTCTGCCTGTGCGGTGCTGGGGTTGCGGGTGTGCACCACCACACCTGCTTTGTTTGTGAAAGATTTATTTCTGATTTTATTTGTGTCTGTGTGTGCCACATGTATGTGAGTGCCTGCAGGGGCTACAAGAGGACATCAGATCTTCCGAGCTGGAAGAACAAGTGGTTGGTAGCTGCCTGATGTGGGTGCTGGGATCCAGTCTCGCGCCTTCTGCAGGAATTGCTGAAGCCATCTCTCCTGCCCATTTTGTTTTGTTTAACATGGGTTCTGGGGATTGAATTTAGGCCCTTATGCAAGCCTGGCAAGCACTTTGCTGACTGATCCATCTCCAACCCTTTTAATGGTGTTTAAAGGCTGGGTCTCATCTACAGCCCAGGCTGTCTTGTAGCCCCAGCTGGCCTTGAACTCATGGCAATCCTCCAGCCTTAACCTCCTGAGTGCCTCACCATACCCAGCCCACAGCCTCAACGTGTTTTATTGATTTTTTTGTTTTGGTTTGTTTTGGATTTTTTGAGTCAGTGTTTCTTTGAGGAACAGCCCTGACTGTCCTAGAACTCACTCTGCAGACCAGGCTGGCCTCACACTCAGCTTTTCCACCTCACACTCAATGTGCCCGGGCATCCAGCAAGTGCTGAGTGCAGACATGAAAGCCCCAGGTTGAGTTGCAACCCTTGTGGGGACCGCTTGAGTCTTAACTTGGCCAAACCAACTGGAAATGAACAAAAACAAGCAAACAGAGCTGGACATAAGTCAGGGATTATGTCAAGATTTAGATATAAGAATCTAAATATGTACTACATAAGAGAATCTCCTAGAAAAATTGTGGATTCTGTCAGCTGTCACTATGACATGGTAGATATGTCCTTAAAAGTTCCTAGCAGTTTGGATGGGGCTATGAGGACGGCTCAGTCTGTAATGTGCTTGCCTTGTGTGACACTCGCTTCTAATAGCCAATGCGATACAATCTGCAATCGTCTTGGAAAACGTCTCGCTAAGGCACTGTCCAGTGAGGGTGTTCTGTAGGTGTGTCTGTAGGAACCGATCCTGTGAAGCATGCCCACTGTGGGCAGCATTGCTCTCTGGGCATGGGACCCTCGACCATATGAGCAAGAATGGAGACCGCAAGAAGAGCACCAGCTTGCATGTATGCATGGGCTCATTGCTCTCTGCTTTTCCAGTGCATGTGATCTGACCAGTGGCTTCACGCTCCTGATGCCTTTACGTCCCCGATGTCACAGCCCTGGAACTGTGAGCCAAATAATCCCATTCTCCCTTAATTTTAGGGGGGTCAGGGTATTTTGTCACTGCAACAGAAAACAAACTAAGATGCCATGCAGACATAAATACTTAAGCATGATTCCCAAAACTCATGTAAAAATCAGGCATGTCAGTATGTGCCTGCAATCCCAGGGCTGGGGAAGTGAGACAGAAGGGCTCAGTCGCCAGCCAATCCAACTGAATCAGTGAGCTCCAGGCCAGTGAGACAATCCTGTCTCAAAAAAAAGTGACCTGTGATTGAAGATGTCAACCTCTGATCTACACACACACACACACACACACACACACACACACAGATACACACGCACACCAATATGGAGGCACAGGTGAAAGGGAAATTAGTAAAAATGATATTGTGACTGCAATTTATGGTCCACACAAATGTCGTGGGGTGTCTGTCCACACAAATGTCGCAGGGTGTCTGTCCACACAAGTGTAGCGGGGTGTCCACACAAGTGTAGCGGGGTTTCTACACAAGTGTAGCAGGGTGTCCACACAAGTGTAGTGGGGTGTCTGTCCACACAAGTGTAGCGGGTGTCGTCCACACAAGTGTAGCGGGGTGTCTGTCCACACAAGTGTAGAGGGGTGTCTGTCCACACAAATGCAGCGGGGTGTCCACACAACTGTAGCGGGGTGTCCACACAAATGTCGTGGGGTGTCTGTCCACACAACTATAGCAGGGTGTCCACACAAGTGTAGTGGGGTGTCTGTCCACACAACACAATCAGGAAAACATTGCTCACATTGCACCTAGGGATCTCTGGGACAAGTGAGTTCATTAAACTATTGTCTTGATTTTGCCATGGGGTAAAACTCTCCGTTTTAAAACTCTCTGCATTTCTATCCTGATGACTTAGAAGGAAATCAATGTCCTAGAAATGAGTGTTTGATGATTGGAAGATGTGGCATGGCAATGCCTGTTAAAAATGAGAATGATTTCTCAGGAAATGTGATATTAAATACATATTGGATTTTTCTAAACTGTGACAGCATTTCTAGTCCCTATAATTATGCAATAAATTACTGAAAGTATATTTATTCAGTGGTAGAACATTTTCATAGCTTTCCCATCACTGCCCACACATGTACACACACACAGAATCACACACGCACACACAGAGTCACACATGCACACACACAGAGTCACACAGTCATACACATACACACACAGTCACACAGAGACACACACAAACACACACAGAGTCACACAGTCACGCACACACACAGTCACACAGTCATACATGCACACACATAGTCACACACACACACACACACACACAGACACACACACACAGACACACACACGCACACACACACACACACACACACAGAGTCAGGTACGGTGATGAGTCTGTCATCCCAGTTATTCAGAAGGCTACATAAGGAGATCAAAAATTCAA